GGGTTTAGTTTGGTCATTATAGCCTTCTCTCGCCAGTTCTTGATAATCTCATCTGGGATGTTGTTTTTGACTGCTAGGAGTGCATCTTTTACTTGTCCAAATAGTGATAATATCTCTATTGTTTCTTTGTCTAATTTTTTTGCTGAGCAAATAGCTGCTATAAGGTTTATATTATCTGGCTCTCTTATTCTGGCTTTTTGTAATGCTTCGCTAAGCACTAAGCAGTTTATGAATCTTAATCTTATATCTGCTTGACGTATGACTGGGCTTAATAAGCCCATATCATATATATCTATCTCCCTCATGTTTGGTTTGTGTGACATGATTATCTTGCTTCAACTTTCTAAAATCGTCTGCTGGAGCACATGTTTTGTTGTTTATTTTAATTTTCTAGAAAAGTCTGTTGTTGCCCGTGTTTATTGTCCTGTTTTGTTTACGTGTTTTGTTTGTTTACTTTGTTTATGTTTGTATTATTATTAGTGATTTGCATTCAGGGTCAAGTGGCTTGCCCACTTTTTGCTAAAAATTTTTTGAAAGTTTTGTTTTTTTTTGAGTATCTTTCTTGCTGCAAGTCCGATCTCATTTGTTTTTAAGCTGAATATCTGTTGTTTTTGTTGCTTTTCCTTTTTTTTTAAGGCCCTGTTGGGTGTTTTCTAAGCCTTTATTGAGTTTTCACTGTTTTTAATTTTTGTTTGTTTATGTACAAATGATTAGCAGAAAGAGTTTGATATCTTGTTTTTTCAATAGAAGTTGTTTTTTTGAGATTTATATAATTATTTTATTAATTACTTAATTTTTGTAATTATTAAATAATTGACTTTAAGATTCTTGAAAATAGTCAATTAATAATTCCAGAGAGATTATATTTATATAATAAGTAAAAACTCTCTTACTATTTTTTTACTTATTTAAAATAAAATTACTAAAACACACCAGATACTATAATAATTTTAATTAATAAAATTATTGATTTGTAATATCATATCAAAATCAAATATAATATAAAAAATCAAAACAATCTTTTGTTTTAATAAAAAAATTTTTTGCAAAATTTTAGTTATAAAAATTGTCGCAGATTATAATTTAAAATGAAATCTATATTTTCTACTTAACCTGTTAACCTTCTAAAACCTATTTATACTTGTTTATTATAACTTTACTTTAAAACTAACCCCTAACCCTAACCCCTATTCCTAAAAAATGCACTAAAAACATTTTATTTTTCGAGATTTTATATTAAAATTTCATTTTGATCTGGATTTTATTATGATCCGCTACAATAATTTATATCTTTAAACTTTAATTTAATATAAGCTAAATTTTTATTTTTTTAATTTTTATTTATTTGTTTTGATAATTATTTTTATGTTATATAGCATGTAGTGTTGAATACTATAAATTGTATGCTTTAGTAAAGTTGATTTAAAAATATATATATTATTATTACTAATATTTTTAACTATTTAAATATAAAGTTAATTTATAATATTTTTAATCTAGATATTTTTTTATTATTTGCTTAATAAAAATTCTACTTTTAAGTTTTTTTTTATATATACTTGTATTTAATTAGTAATTTTTAAAATTAAAAAAAATTTTTGTTAAAAATAATTTTTTTTTACTTGTAATATTTGTTTTTGCTAGATCTAATATATTAATATTGTTGTCTAATACCTATTTGTAGATTGGTTTTATTTTTTGCTTATTACTTTTTAATTTATTAATATTATACAATATATAATTATAATTTTTATTTAAAATTTTTTTTTTATTATTATTTTTGATAAAAATAAATCAAATATGAATTTATAAAATTTTAGCAAGCAAATTTGCTCGCTAAACTGGACGGTTTAAGGAATAGCTATTGTAAGATATATAGTAAATAACTAATTACACATGAGTTCATATGATATGTATCCGTGTATAACTGAATATACCCATACAATAAATATAATATTCTCTAAATAAACAATTTTTTAAAAATAATGCTGCATATACAGTATAAAAATTTTTTTATTTATGTACTATATAAAATACAAGCACGTACGTATTTGTAATATAATACGTACGTACGTACGTACTAAAATTTTATTTATAAACTAAATATATATTTTTGAAATACATATGAGAGAGTAAAAACCTGTAACCAATCATAGTAAATTATTAAATCTATTTCCAGGTTTTCACTCTCACGCACTCATATAAACATATACTGTACCAAAATCTTAAATTCTAACCTAATCTAACGTTTTGCTTTTAAATTTGTATTATGTGGTTTACCAATTATATCTGTGTTTTTATACCCTAGTGTAAATTAAAAAATTTCTTATATAAAAGGTAGAATTTATATTATTATACATGTTTTGAATCAAAAAATTGCGTTTCGAGAATTAACTATGAAATACGTAGTTAAAAGTAATTTTGTTGTATCGGTATAGTATAGATGCTTTTTTTTTATTCTGCTTGACTACTCAGTAAATTTCTAAGCCCAAAAGTCATTCGTGTTTAATATATGCTAGCACAAGTTATTAATTTAATAACGCAAGTTTATAGAAGTTTATAGTACGATAGTTTTTATTACGAACTTTACAAGATTTTTGAAGATGTACCACTGTTTCATTATAGAAACGTGGAATGTTAACTTATTTGTATATATTAAACTTTATTAGGAAAGCTTAACGTAACGAATACCAGATTGAAGATCTTTATGAGACTTGTAATTTTATTATTAGCAAGTGATAAAATCGTGTAAGACGGTACTCAAAAGGTTAAAGCGAATAAATTAACCTATAGAAATGTTTGTGAGAAATTAAGATTTGAGACATAAAGACGTGAATATGAATTTATAAAATATATATAAATCCTGAAAGTCATGACATTTTTGCATTAATGATGATATGAAGTATTATGATAAAATATCAAATATTAGCAAGTGTATAAAATTTGCACAGTAATTTTTATTACTTTGAAACCGCATCGGTATTTGTTGATGGTAAAAATATAAATAGTAAGTGTGCGATATTTCTAAAAAAAGATGTTAACTGGAAAATCGTGAGAAGTTGAACTATTATTCAATATATTTTTATTACTTTTATTTTCTTTATTTTGTTTCTAAGTCATTAAAACAATGCCAATTAATAAGTACTATTAAAGTATAATAAATTTGAGGTTTCTACATATTTACGTGATTTCTTAATCTACGTCACGCGTTATAGAGCGCTTTAATACGAACGCTAAAAGTAAAATATACTCTTGGGACAATAGATAAAGCATAAGAGATCATAATTACTATCAGTGAATTTGTAAGATTTCTAACACAACAAAATATACTTCAACAAACTTCTTTTGAATCAATATTAATTAATCGACGATTACGTCATATTACTTGACTACCTCACGAAGTACCCACATATAAATATAAGATTACTTCATTTACCAGATCGAATCAAGGTTGGTTCTAAGAGGATAGTAAAACGTAAGAAAAGTAATGATAAATACGCATTCCTTTTATACATCAAATTTAAACACATCTATCTTTCCTTTCTTTCTTTCCTTTCATATTTCACTAGTTGGGACCGCAAGTTCTTATTAGGCAGTAGTCACTTACTATCCTACTTACTTTTTCAACTTCTTTGGCGGTTTACTTGAAAAGTGCTGTCTCTCTTTGCAAGTAAGTCAAGAAGTACGGCTATTTCGAAAAAACGCGTTAAAGTTCTTACATACCTTTACAAAAAAGGATAGTCATGTATCAAGAGCAAAACAGTTTACAAGAAGAAACTCCAACAACTATCCCTAAAAGGTCAGCTATGATATCAGTGGACAAGAACGATATCGCCAAAGCTTTTGATAAGGCGCTTGACGAAATATCAAAACATATCAATGAAGGTGGTAATGATTTTATTGATACTTGATGATACACAAACACAAAAACATAAATATCATTTCATCCTTTGGTGCTATCTGCAACGTTGCGTCAAATATCTTTGATATCTTTGATATCTCATGTTATGCACTCAAAATTTGTTTATGAACATCTTAAAAAATCTTTTTTTGTATTCTTGTGATTTATTATTATTTGTGTTAATAAACTTATTCGAGAACAAAAAACAAAAAAAAAATCAAAAAATCAAAAATCATATGTGTTTTAGTATCAGTATCGACGCCTATTGGAAAACAGCCCCAAAACAACAATTTGAAAATTAGTCCTGCTGATTCTGACAAATCAGCGTCATCGGGTCACTCTAGTCAATCGAGCGGTCAAACCAGTTCCACTTCTATCACTGAAGAATCTATTGAAATTAAAGCCTCGGGAAAATTCAGGAACGATGGCAGACCCTTACCTTTTAACATTCATTTAAAGGATTCATTGAGCCGAGTAAGTTAAAAAAAATAAATGTATACATAATCGCACTAATTGTTCATTTTTACTCATTATGTAACTATATAATCGTAATTGGATTTTAAGCTGGAAACGGTGGATGAGAATCCCGAAGAAGGTCGTACAGCTCCAAGTTCACCAATTGCTTCTCCATTCGATCAGATCATGCCCGTTTCATTGCCTCAAACCCATTCGGTCTCTTCCCGACAATCACTGATGTCTAATTTAATTAAGCCACCAACCGTTAAGGTGGTTTCCACGCAGGGAAAGGCCGCGCATGACTACGTTATTCCAAAAACTTCTTCGCGAACTAGCTGCATCGCGTGTATCCATGGGAATGTTTTATTGAAACCTTGTGGTCATAGGTGATTTTTTTATTCCTCTTACAGGTATCAAAAAATAGAAATAATAAATAATGGTTATCAATTTTCTCTTGAATTAAAGAATGTGTGAATCATGTGTTCATATTTTACGTTCAAATACGGTCAAAAGTTCTTTCAAAACATATTCTGAATGTATATTATGCAAGACGGTAAGGTATATTATTAAATTCGTTCATGTTTAATTACCATGAGGTGAATATGTTGGTACCTATCTATTTATCTATTCATTACCTTTATTTTAAATAAAAGCCCGTTGCGGAATTTGTTACGTTTTCCGGTAAAAAAGAGAGCCAGAGTGGTAATATTTCCCCAGCGAAAACAAACATGAACATTCAATTTATGCAGAATATTACCGAAGATGATGCTCTCCGTCCACTATCTTGGGTTTTTCCCAATATGACACCGTTGACTACGAGACCTGTTCAAGCAATGGCCTCCGTAACTAATAGACCCCAACAGATCCAATTTGGGGAACTAAGCAAATTAGCTACTGCCTTCAATTGGCCCGTTGTTAAGCTTACTAACGTAAATATTAATAATTATTGTAATTTTTTTATATAATTTTTTTTTTTATATTAAGATTTTAATAATCCACTATACTGATGTATTTTGTCTACTTTGTCATCTATTTCGTCATCGATTTCACCTATTTCATCTCTATTTCCTCTATACTTCATCTATTTTTCATTTACTTTGTATATAAAGATTCCGTGGGATGTTTCATTGAAGGAAATAAAAACGTTTCTTTCAGCTTTCAAGTTACCTAGTGTATCATTGTATTCACAATGCATTCATATCATAATGGATAGGTAAATTTCAAAATTAAAATGAAAATTCTTGTCGATAAACATATGAACAATGTATTCTATGATTTATTTTATATTAAATAGAACATCAGGAAAAACACTTTCTGAAGCGTATATCGAATTGGCGACACCTGCGGAGGCACACCGTGCGGTTGATACACGTAATATGAAACCGTTAAAGGGACGTCTCGTTTCATGTATGAGATCATCTCAGGAAGATCTTATGAGAGCGGTCTTTCCAAAATGGAAAGGGGAATTTTCTGGTTGCGACGCTGTCGTGACTTCAGAAATGTTACAATCAACACCAACTGTACCGCATATTCCATTTATCACGAGAGAAGAAATGAATTCGCTTTTGGTAGTTTGCCGAAATT